ATTCCCACCTCTCGTTCCCACCACTGCAACTCCTGTGTAGCCAGGATCTACAGCTTGACCGCCACAAAAACCCAACCAATGAAGGTCAAGTTTGTCCCGGGGGAAAGTTAAACTGTCATTGGACCCGCAACGAAATTAATCAGAAGAACATAGGAGGAGTTCGAAATTAAGGTTCGACTTCCCTCCATTGCAAAGCGGATGACAGGTGACAAACAAAGGTTTAAAACCTTTAAGAAAAAGATTATGCACCACGGACAATAAATTAAATTAAGGGGGCCTATCTTTAGAAATCGACCATTGCTCGTCGCAGTTCCTCACGGGACATGGCAACTTTAAACATAAACTTCACGAATTCAAACTAGTTCCGTCTCCTTTTTGCGAGTGTTCCACTGATGATGTCAATCATGAGCAGTCTGCCCATCATATCTTGTGGGAGTGTGATCTTTGGAAACATGAACGTGATATAATGCTTAATTCAATACAACATACATCTGTTTCCGCAATTTATTACACCGATCTTGTCGCGACAAGGAAAAATTTCCGTGCTTTTAAGCGATTTTGTGAAAAATATTATTGGCAGGTAGTTGCTAATTGCTCATAATTTTTGCCATTTGTAAACAATCAAAACTTTCTATCGTGTGGTTTTAATAACTGAGGTCGTAAACTCGATTTTAGATCTTATAATATCTCTGAAGCAAGCCTGTTTTCTAATCTCACTTTTTTCAAATTATGCGTACCATCTGGTAATCGAACCCAGGAACTTCCAACCACTACCTAGATCACGGTTGCTTTCATTGCATTGCAGAAGATGGTGGGAATGTGATGGTGTTTTTTATCTTCGTCGTCGTTCGTCGGGCTCGTCGGCTTCGTCGGGGCCTCCAATTTGTGCCATGGTAGGGGACCGTATGAATGAGACAAAGGTTGTTATAGTCTGTTTACTAACGTCAACTACGGAGTATTTATACGATATAGATTCAATGTAAAATACGTCACGGCATCTAACACTACGTGTTAAATGTGCTGACACTGAACGTGATCAAGATAAAATATGCAGAGAATAAATATTGTGCATACCGGCACAGGTATTATTAGAACCACTATTCAGTATTGGCCTCTACACAAACAGAATGCACTATAAATTTCTCAGATACCTAGGATAGCATTTATGTCCGTTCGCCATAATAAATCGACGCGTACCTCGCTTTCAAAACTGAAGGATGCGGTAGGTTTACCGAAATGACCCCTATGCTAGATAGTAAGTGGCAGTTTCGTCTATAAATTTGAATTTCATGGTCCGATGGCGATCTTCGCAAGAATTTATTAAGGTATGGTAGCTTTGTTTAGGTATTCAATGCTGCAAAACCAAACAAAACACATTCATTTTAGATTGAGTCATAACGTAAAAAACTGCATTAATGACACTTTTATGGTCTGTCCGTATTAAAAAAAAAACAACGCACAAACTCCGTTCAAAATTAGTCATATATTTTGTCCTATGATTGGTAGGTATAGCTATTGAAGTTCAACTAATGAAAAGCCTTAATCTATACTTCAGATTAAGTAAATCATGAGCTTTGTTCTAAAATACGAACCACACAAGCGGTATTTCAACCGCATTCTGTTTTCTATTAATATGAAAAATGTTTAATGTTTTTTAACGATCTGTGAATCAAAACCATTCTAAATTCGCTTAACTAAAAAGCACTGCCCTATAACCCTCGAGGCGGTGAAAAAAAAGTGTGTAGCAATTAAAAAAAAAGTTTATGAAAATTGCATCCCATGAAAATTAAATGTATTCCTGGAAAATAAAGTGACCTGAAAAAGAATCCCAAAGATCTCGTATGTAACAGGCATTTTTTAAAGGCACTTAACTTGATGAAAACTGGATAAAGGGTGACACATTTCGTGACAACCCTAGCCCAATTATTGACTTAATTCCTTTATCCCGCACCAATTAAGTGCTCATTTGCGTTCCGAGCTAATTTGGGTGAGGAACAGATACAGTTTAATTGTACAATCAAATAGGTACGTACCTAATTGTTTAATAGAACCAAACAAGAAGAGGTAACAAATACCTACATTCTAATTTATCACATAAAATTATGAAGCGTTTGTTCATTGTTATATACTAAGAATAAAGAAAGATGTTTAGATTGATTCTAAAAACAGGAACTGCCTAATTTAAGCTCAGTGAAAACCTAGGACAGTTTTAAATTGTTCAGGCAGTTGCTGTCTAATAAGATGATTACACCATAACAAATGATTTTAAAACCAAGATCGAAGGAAAGCAACCACAGAATATGTTTGTCTCGAAGCGCTGGTAGGGCCCAAAAGATATGGAGACATAAAGTGCCCCAGGGCTTGACCCTTTTTTATTTTTTGACGTTCACATGTACCAAAATACTGGTTTAAATTGAATAAAATATTTTCGATTTGATTTGAACAGAAAACCAATTCAACCTGTCTGAAGAAACCAGCAACATTCAGCAATGCGATAAATAGCGAGACACAAAGGCGTGGTGTCTGCCCACTTGAGCGCGACCAAGCCGCGGCAGTGGCGTGCGGAGCCAATCAACTAGTGACAATTCCATTTAACACGAGCATTGTATGGAAGACTCGGTGGAAACCAGATTCTATTCAAACCGTTTGGTATTAGACGTCAACTGTTGTGGGAAACGTGATGCATGCGAAGCTTAACAGCGTGACGTTTCAGTAAGTATAGACCCAATACACTGAACTGTCCCACCCGTGACATTGACAGGGGGCGCCACCGTCGATACCGGATCGCCGGTTCCGATTTTTTCCATGTTGGAATAACCCAAACTATGTAGTTGATTTTTTTTTAGTTTGGTAGGACAGTTCACTGTAGGTTATCTTTATTTGATGTTCATGAAATTTTATGTCAATCCACTTTTGTAGCTTCAATCGTGCGCCTTTGAACGCAATACCTATCAAGTTTTGAAGAGACACGATTTTGTGAATAATACACGACATTTGTTTCTCTCCATGGATGGATGCGAGCGGCGCAGGATCGGTCTTCGTGCAAATCCTTGGAGGAGGCCTTTGTCCAGCAGTGGACGTCATTCGGCTGAAACGAACGAACGAACGAACACGACATTCAAATGTTACGACGTTGTAAACGACCACGATACTTGGTGCCGAGACGTCCTTTGTCCATAAAATTCTTTATCATAGGTAAATAGCTGGTAGGTAGCTGAAACAACTTTACTCGTATATTAGGGTCACGTCAGAGTTATTCCTATAAAAATATTATGTATAGCTGTAGGTGCTATAAGTCGCTTACACAATACAAGTAGGGACCTAAAGGGTAATAATGTTAGTGGTGTCCGGAACTTCGGCATGATAAAACTTTTATAGTATTTTCTTGATTATTGGACCAAAAACGATTTGTTAGATATTCTTTATTTCCGGGGTGGTCTAACTTGCTTAAATTACCAAGTCCTACATAAAGTTCCTATTTTAGTGTGTCCCTAAAAGGGAATTTGAGACACAATTTCTTGTTTATTCCTGATTATTGGACCAAAAACTGTTTGTATACTTACTACATGTCATTGTTTCCGGGCCGGACTAATCCCCTATTTACTTAAACATGAATGTAGGCCTCCAAAAAATAAATCACGTCTTGGAGACAGGAAAACAATTGGGTTACATAACAATGAGTTTGTCAACGCCCCCGCATTTAAGTTGTTTGTTACCTCGTTAAGGTTGGGGTAAGACTTGTACTACTGCGATCAGTGAAGTCAAAAGTCAAAGTCAAAATTCCTTTATTTGCATGGAATATTAAATAGTCAAAATATTAAAGTAAAAAAAAAATTATAAACAAATAAAAAACCTTTTATGTTTTGCTCTAATGAAGCCTTTACATGTCTCATAATTATGAGATACTAGCTTTTGCCCGCGGCTTCACCCGCGTGAAATTTAGTGTAGTCGCCATAAATTATAGCTTATATGTTAATTTGGATTACAAACAATAATACTGTAAAGTTTCAACAAAATCCGTTCAGTAGTTTTTGCGTGAAAGACTAACAAACATCCAGACATCCAGACATCCAGACATCCAAACTTTCAGATTTATAATAGTAGGATAGGTACTTTAATATTTGGACTATTTAATATTCCATGCAAATAAAGTAATTTTGACGTTGACTCTATGCCGGTTGAAATAAAGTCCTACTGAGATCAATTGTATACAATCCGATTTCTTTATTCAAGCGATTTCGCAGTAAATTATTCTTGAGATTGGGCTGTAAATTATTTATCAGCGGATTGTCTGAATAACAAAATTCTCGACTCGATCCGGTATTTTTAAGCTGCTCTACGTTTCCGTTTCAATAAGATTATTTATTAATAAATTAAAATAATTCTGTCTCCATTTAGGCACTTAAATAAAATTCTAAGTTTACTGAACAGATAACTTATTCCGAATATTTTCAACCGGTCAGGATGTAAAATAATTTAATAAACCAATGTTTTTTTCATAGATTTTGCCACATAAGTAGGTACTAAGACCACAATTTCACGATGTTGTAGGTCGGGAGATACTCATAGCTATAGGTACTAAGTCTTATTACTTACCGTTGTATGACTTAAAAAATAATTATTAGCATAATTCAGACTTACCGCATCCAGATTCCCAGTTTCTATGCAGCACAGGAACAGCGTTAAACCAATGTTTTGGAAGTTCCCGCAACCTATAGATTAACCAAGTATAATTGCAGCGTATTTCGCGAAGTCACTTTGCATTTACTGCTCGCCTTCCTATTTCGCTGCCTACCCACACCTGGGTCTACCATAAAATTTAATCTACACTGTTTCCTTCCTACCATTGTCTCTATATACTGTTACGAAAGGATCTCTTGCTACTTATCCCAATGTATACTTGCACTGAATTTTTATGGTATTGTAACTGCTATTTGACTCAGTGAAACTAGGGTTAATAAAGTACAAATAAGAAGTCGAAATCGAATCATCATGTTTTATTTATATTTACAAGACATTATTTACATTCACTTAGTGTTTGGTATCAATTTCATTCCCTGTACAAAACTTCGACGGTGCACTAACACAGCTTTCAATGCCAGACGCATGTGGATGATTTAAAATACAACGAAAACAACGAAGACACATTTGGATGATTTAAAAAAAATCAACGCATTTGGATGACAACTATGTTAGTACGAAAAAATCTAATTAATTAAGCCGATGGGTCACTTGATTACAAACCAAACATTGAAATGTAGTAACGAACATAGGAGGCCTGAAATAAGGTAGCTCTGCGTGATAAGCTGAGCGGTGAGCGGAGCGGTTGACCGCGGTGCTCGCTCGTCTGACATCACGCTTGACGCAACTACGATACGGCGACCGGTAGCATCGTTTTTTGACTCTTCTGCAGCGGACACGCTGCTAACTTCAGGTGGTACGCAACTTGGGATCTTTACCTGTGATAGAATAAATCGAAATTACTTTAAAATACTCTCCCTTCTACTTTTTACAATTCTAGTTAACACCTACAATGTTTGCTAGCATAATTTAGTACTTACCGGTGGCTGAGTAAGGTTCACTTTCTCTTGACACCTACGCGCCTGGTGAGCTAGACACGCTGCGTACGCTATGGCGTGTGGGATGTAGCTCTGTTCCACGACTCCCGCGAACAGGGTCGTTGCCATTGGACCTATACAAACAACGGGGTTAAAATAAACCTAGCTGCTGTTAGTTAATTTAGTTTATTGGATATAAAACATACAACAAATACAAATAGTGTAAAGTACTGTAAAGTATGTTCACTGGCTAAAGTTATTTTAATCAAAGTAAATAGTATTTAAAGTTAAAATTAATTAACACAAATAAAGCACGCATATGTATTAGAAAGTAACTACTTAAATTGAAAGAAATTAATTGGAGGATACTTAAAAGTAAAAATGGTCAGCTTATCATTTTCTACTGTAAATAAGCTGTGGTCTTGCGAAACTATAATGTATAAGCAAACTTAAATTTTACTGCACATACCTAAGGCATAAATCGGCACATCCTCCCCGCCGTGGGTGGCCCATTGCCTTGGAACTGCTGCCGCGTGGACTGCATCAGCTTGGACTGTGTTCGATGCAGTTGCGTTCAGAGGCAACGCTCTTGGCTCGGAGTGCCCTGGTCCCGTTCCATACAACAAAGTCGTATACCGAAGTCCGTCAATATCAGACACCACTGTGTCCGCACCTATAAACAAATTAACACTTGACCTCCCTGATCACAACGTTATACCTTTTTGTCGGGCTCTAAGTAAAACCAAACATAATTCCGTAAAGTGCTTCACGGAATAAGTCTACTACGTGACCTAAAATTTACGTTAATAAACGTTTTTGTTCTATGCAAAGGGTTCGAACCAAATAAAATAAATTTAAATCCCTATAGAAACAGGTAAAAGCAAGCTCAACCGAATCCAAACAAAATCATCCTTAAAGTGCTTACGATATCGTTACTCTAATATTTAGTCTAAATAAACGAGATTCAGCTTTTTTGATCAAAATTATGAAGGTTGAGCTCTTTCATTTGCCTCAGCCCGGAACGTTAAATGAGTATCTAAAAAGGTTTAGATAAACTGCCAATGTAATATTAATAAAATCACTTTAATCTGCTGAAGTAGGTTACCTTGATATAAAATGTTTACCTAAAACAGGGTGTCCCCTTGGGGTGGCCTGGCCGCCGAAGGTCATGACGTGTCCGTGGTCAGCTGTGACCACGATGAGGGTCTCCGCAGGGTTTACCCGCTCCAATGCTGCCAGTAACGCTGTCTCCAGTTCCAGTGTCTCGTCAAGAGCCCGGTACGGATTGTTGTAGTGGTGTGCATGGTCTATTCGACCCCCTAAAGCGACATATTGAACAATTTAAAATAATGGTGATTCTTTCTTGTTTGTTTAAAGAAGGAACTGTATTACCTATCTTATACATAACTATGTACTTAAATATTAATATCCTTTACAGATATTATTAACTGTAGAGACAGATTTTCAAGGTGAACACAGATAACAGATAAAGACAAAAATAGGTATGAGAGATAAAATTTTCATATTGTTTCCTACCTGCTTGAAGTCGGTTACGAATTAGGCATTTATGATAAAAAGACATCAAAAAACATGTAAAAAGACAAAATGATCCCATAAAACGAATTCATTGTATGAATATAACATGAGGAAATAATACTCTGCGAAAAGTAAGTGTGTAGTTATCATTCGCCAAAAAATAAAATATTACCATTCTAAAGATGTACGCATAAATGAATACGGGAAATGTTAACATTGTAATAACCGAAGATTTATAACAGTAAGGAAATATGTTTTATCAGCTATTTTTAGCATTATGTATTCAATGTTGTAACAGAGGTGAGAGTATATTGCTTTTTTGTACGCATAACGTGGCCATTTTGCGTGACTGATGGTCGATCGTTAAATTAATCTAGAGTGATTATTTGAAATTGCAAGCGTTTGAGTGCTTTAGATAAGCCACTGATACAAATTGCTTGTACACATTGCGGCAACATTAATTATCAGTTTAATAACTCAACATCGTCAAATAATATCAATTTCATCATCATCCGGTCATTTAATTTCCACTGGTAAATGGATATGTTTGTCCTTCACTCCTCCTTACGTTGGTCTTCCTTAGTTGCCTTTCACAATATCCACGAGAAGGTTAGTAACTCATAGGTAAGTGATGATATTATTCTTCATATATTTTTTTAGGAATTATACTGTTAAAATTGTATGCTTCTTGTATTAGGATCGAGTGGGTTAGGTACCTACTACAATAGTCTAGTACAGGTCGGACGACCTGCCGAACCTCGAACCGGCAGTACGTCAGCTAATATTGCCTGAAACTCTATCAGGATGATACAGCAGTTTCTTAATCTGACTGACGATCTGGTGAAGGTCGCGAGAAGCGTAGCACTTTGATGCGGTCAATGTGAAAATCTACGGGAAAGCAGTTGATGGAATTGAAATGAAATTTTATATAGAGCTAACCTTCTACATATAAGTAAGAATAAATCCTTTGTCGTTCTTCAACAGTATAGACAGCGCGGCTCTGGTCATGTCAGCCAGGAGGAGTCGAACCTCAAATCGGTCCAACCGTGACAACGTTAAATTTACTTATAGTCTAGCTGGAGCAAACCTCCTTGATCATAGAGCTAACCTTCTATAAGTAAAAAAATCCTTTGTCGTTCTTCAAAAGGCGGCTCTGTGGGTCTAGACAAAGTGCAAATTATAATCGCAAACCAGTCGAAAAGTGGTCGAAAAGCCCCTTTTTTGTATGGAGTTTTGACGGATTCGATTTTCGAATCGATCAAAAAGTGCGTTTTGTCTAAGGGGGCTGTGTGCCTACCATGAGTTTACGTTAGGTGAGCTCGCTAGCGAATACGTCAAAAAATTCTATGAAGATTTTATTTCTTGAAAGTAGCCACTAGGGGCGCTGCACAATATGTCATACATTTAAATGTCATTTTTTTACGCAGTCGCTAGCGAGCACACCTAACGTAAACTCATGGTAGGCACACTGGTCATGTCAGCCAGGGAAGGATTGAACGTCAAATCGGCAGCCAACGGTGACAGCGTTATTAGGCTATAAATTGTTCTCAATCAAATTCATAAACCTTAATCATAGATCTAACCTTCAATAAGTAAGAAAAATCCTTTGTCGTTCTTCAACAGGATAGACAGCGCGGCTCTGGTCATGTCAGCCAGCGAAGGGTCATCGGCCTTGACCGCGGAGCCCGCCGCCGCGCCCTCCTCCGCATCCGCCACCGCGCCCCGCTCCGCGTTGAACTCCATGTGGGAGTACTCGAATATACCTGAAGAAGGTGAACGTTAAAGCTTCGGCCAAACCAACGCGTGCATATCGCATCGCGATGGCGATCACAGGACAATGACAGGACGTGCGACCAATGACAGGACGCGCCATGTCATTGGCCTATGCATGCACAGTGATCGCCATCGCCGACGCGATCTGCAAGCGTTGGTTTGGCTAAAACTTTAAGGTTGAGTTGCACCATCTTACTTTGGTTGACAAACGTCAAAAATCTGACAAACTCCATACAAAAAGCACCGGTTATTGTCAAAGATACGGCCAAAGTAAGTAGGTGCAACTCGGCCTAAGCCTATTCGAACTAAGAATACCTATGAAGATTTTATTTTCATTTTGTTTTTTTTATTATGTTTGGTTTGTATCGCACGTAAATGATATGATAATCCAATAAATAAATGATGTCTTTTTAATATTTCATAATTTAAATACGAAATAAAATTAATTTCCCCATATTATTTTACTAATGAACAACGCGTTACGTAATTTGGGTTATTATTAATTAGGAAATTAATTTAATAACGCCTTGGCTAATGCCAAGGCGTTATTAAATTAATATCATTGTAATTTTTCGTCTGAAAAAATATTATGTATAGTTAATACCTAAACAAAAATAAGGGCCCATGCACACCGCGGATTTTTCAAGCGCACCGTCCGACACGCATCTCATGTAATTGTTACGCCATGCCACCGTGTGCGCGGTGGTATAGCTATGGAAGTAACTATGCAGTAAAGCAATCCATTTTGCAGCGCAACAGCCGTCGAGGGCCACTGAAAAAAACATGGCATGCGTGGGCCCTTAATCACACGCAACCCTACGTATTTATTTGAATAGTTTTTATCCGGTATTGGAAAACCAGAATTTTCCAGAAAGTTGTTCAGAAAATAGAATGTTTATTTCCCTCGGATAGAAACAAATACTTGGTATAAGGTTTATTTACAATGACGATACAAACTCATCCGTAAGTTTTTGCGGTGCGAGAACGTTCACTGCAGTCGAGCTGAGTGTCGTTGAGTAATCGTTGTAGCCCGCCAACAATAGTGTTCTTCTGGCGTTGGTTTATTTTGCCGGATAATATGTCTTGTCTCTGTTGTTGAAAATCCACTCTTCTTAGCAAAATCATCATTATACACAGCTAGTACTGTTCATACAGAAAAGGGTAGATAATGTTAATCCGGATGACGGATTTTTTTCATTTCCCTTACTCTTTTTTTACTGCTATCATCACTACATGCAGTAGACGTCAAGTCACTTCTAGGATGCTATCGCAGTATTATTACAAAGATAGTTTGTTATTCCTTAGTTTCCTAAAACATGAAACTATTTGGGTTTCGTGGTACGAGAGTACTCCTCAATACCACTTGAGTCCCGTTCTCCCGACTACGTCACACACATTGACTGGATGCGAATTTCGCAAGCATGTAAATTGCAGAACTCTCCTTGAAACTCTCAGACTGTTACATTAACTAAACACCAACAAACCTGCAAACAGTTTACCTGCAAATTGATAGAATACTATCTGGTTAAATCTGCTTACATGTTTGTAATGTTCGAGTCATCAAATGGATTCTATTTTGCCATAAAAATGTGTGGTCTAATGTGCCGTATGCTGTACAAATTCGTCACATTTAGCATGTGTTTTGTTCTCAATACTGCACCCAGCTGTTTTGAATTAAATGCCTACAACGCAACAGACAGTTTATTTAACTGTATATACTCTGAAACACGGTATATAATTCATGTAAGACGCCATTAACGACACGCGCCTGGTCTTAAGTGGCATGAGTGAAATAGGTACCAAATATTACAATAGGTAGCATATAGCATGGATGCACATGAGCGACCTGAATACCCAATCACTAAAACTTTTAACGAAATATTGAACTTTCGTTCGTTCGTGACGCCCATTCACGTCCAAGTTTCTTAAAAATGACGTCCATAAAACGGACAAGCTTGAAAACTTTCGCAAGAAAATCACACTTTGAAAAACTTAAAGAGATTTTTGATGGAATAAATGATTTAAATTTAACCAGCGTTTTCGAAGTTCCAGTCACAACCCAACTACTTACGGGTCGTCTTGAATACGTGATACCTAAAGGTTTGAAACGGGAAAAAAATATTTCAGGGCGATTCTTAAGAGCTTATTTTAATAAATGTAGTTAACATTTTATACAAAACAACTTATCTTATTTCATTTGAGTAAACTAAAAACCCGAATACAGAAAATTTTATATATCTAGACTAGACAGTCAATTAATCACTCATTTTATGGAAGTGATTACGAAATCGCCACTTAACATCTGAACGTTTAACAATTCGATACTAAATGCTCAGAAATGTACCTAAACTGCAAATCCTCATTATTTACAATTAGGGCATGGATACCGGTATACCGAAATACCGGTATACCGGTATACCGGTCAAAATTTTCGGTATTTTGATACCGGTATTTAAGGGGAAAATACCGGTATTTCGGTTTTTCGAAAAAAGTGATCTAATTTTGCAATATCGGCAGTTTTTCAACTAATGGAAAGTCATTGATAGGTTTTACACCATCTCTTTTTATTTTTATACTTATTTTTAATATTGATTCAGATGATAATGATTCGAATCATCATATCGATTTCAATAATCGATTGAGTCAAGTCAGTTCTGCTGATATCATTGAAGCGAGCACGAGCATCTTAATAAGCACGAAAATATACGTATTAATTAATGACCTTCTCTACGCCCAATGGCTCGTCACCACACGGCTCCCAAATCTTGAAAAGGGTCGTCTTAACCAGCGTATCCCTGTCAAGCCACACGAGTTGGATTTGCCTATCCTTGTTCCCAGCCGATCCTTAACTACGGTTGCTGAAACTCTTCCCAGCACTCTCTTGAACGACTCTGTGTTATCTACTATGGCTGCTCCTCTTCCTTGCACCCTACTGCACGACTGCGTTTAATTATACGCATATTTTTTACTTTGTCGAAGATAAGCATTTCGTCTTATTCAATGCAGGATTAAATGCCCTTCACCTGCCATGAAGATCAATTTTCTATACTGCAAGTCCTTTATTTATACGGTATAACCATAAAACCGGAAAAATGCCCCTTTCGGGGGGGCCCACCACACCTCCGTCGAAGTCAAAAACTTAGGATAGTCTTAATGAGCAACAAATGAAGCTATGAAAACAAAACCTTTAGGAATTATTTCCGATTTGATTAATTTTCACGTCTTATTCTACTGGCCTATTAATAACTTTTCGCAAACGAGACTTACTAATCGTTCTTGGAAACATTTAAACAGTAAATAGCAGTATCTCAAGAAATACCGAAAAAATACCGAAATTTCGGTATACCGGTAATTGAAATTTCAATACCGGTATCAATACCGGTATAAAACTTATTCCGGTATTCCATACCCTATTTACAATGCAAATTCTGCGTAGGCCGGTAGAGATTAAAAAGGATTCAAAGGGATTACAAAGCAGCGGCGGTATCACAATACGAGCAAAATGTAGGCCAGGTGGATGTAATAAATATTTCACAAATCGAATAGAAACGGGAAGATTTACGCTTTGGAGGCAGAAGAAATGTTTTTGTTCTCGTTTATTTACGTGAATACTTTGAAATCCGGAACGGCTAAATTCAGGCGATCGGCACATTGTGACTTCTTTATTACTTGACTAGCTTGTGCCTGCGGCTTTGCCCGCTGTTTTGGTCTGTCTCAGTCAGTGTAGCCTACGTCACTCTGAAAAATGTAATGTAGCTTTCTACTAGTGAAATAGTTATTATTAAAAAATATTATAAATAATTATTGCAGATATTGGATTCAAAGGAGTATACCGTACGAAGTTGACTTGTGAGCCAATCTCGTTCTTTTAAGCTGTGTGTGACATAAACGGATTTAATTGTCTCCCTCCTAGCCTCATTCAGTTTTGAAGCTCTATACTACGAGTAAGTATAGGTACATAATGTTTAATAACAGTATTTAGACAAAGCGCAAAGTTATCATTTTGTTTAAGATTATTCTTACTGTTGGGGTTTCTTTAAACTGTTGCGTATTGGTTAACAAATAAACACATAAAATCGAACCTATCTAGGAAGTAAAAGTAATTAACTATTTAGGAATTACTGTAGCCATCGTGTACATACATATTACTTGATCTTAAAATGCCTATAGCCTAGTATCTAGCATCACCGTCAAGTTTCAATACCTATTCGTACATAGAAGTTGTCAAAAACATGTAGGTACATCTGTCAAACCTTATACTTGACACATGTTTAACATTAAATAATTTATTTTAATTTGATTCTTATTTGAAAAGGGAAGAGCTATTTAACCGACTTCTTTTCAAATCAGTTTCATAATTATTAATTGCCTATAGAGAAAACTTGTCGCACAAATTGAATTTCAATCAATAAAATAAAATTCGGTCTTGTTTAAATGAACTCAAATGTTATTAATACGATGTTGTATCATGTCAGAAACGGGTTCAATTGCCGATATAAAAGTACCATACAACACTCAACCAAGTCTAATATTGATCATGTAAGTTGTAATACTTCGCAAAGTAAACACACCAGGAAAACCGAACTTAAAATTTAACTTACCTAACAAGTAATCGACGGATCTTGGATCCAATTTCGCTAGCTGCTCCCTGGAGTGTATGTACTGGGCCCGTAGGCGCCGTCTCTTCTTTTCCCGTGCCCAATCCTCGGCCAGGTTCCTTCCATCCAATCTCCTGCCTTCCCGATTCTTGTGCTCGGGATCAGGGGTCACCGTCGGCAGGAAGTGCCGTCTCCCACCCCCCATTATAACCTAAAACAAATACAGGAAATTGGCGAACTCTACAAAATTCAGGGGACAATTCAATTTAATCACAAACAAGGTACATTTTATTGCGTCATCCTAATGCTTTCATGTCCCCGTAATGGCGTCTTTTTACGTTCCGTGACATTTTTACCTGCAATTTGCGTGTCATTGAGCTGTGAAAATGACAACGGAAACATTTTGCCAGTTCAACATCATAATTAAATATTCATACCTACATCCATTTATAAATCTAACGCTTCAGATATAAGATTTTCTCTTGTATACAAAATTTAACGTATTGTCAGTTATTATTATCTTGGATATTACTATTATTATACTGTAGTATCATCCGCGCTAATAGAAACGGGTTGTAATGATGAACGAGTTTTAGTACGAGTATAGTTTAGCTTCAAAACACTAATATTATCAGTTATTAATTTCAAGTTATAATGAAGGGATCCTTAATACATTGTATAAGTAATCGGCTTGAACACGCCTTTTCCAATTATATTGTAAAAGGGCTGTAAAATTTACGAATGTGGAATAAATCTTTCCCGAACAGGAATCAGAATATTCATTTCACATGACGTTTACATCTGAAAGTTTTCATTAGCATTTTGGCAAAGGCTCCGATCCATATCGAAGCTCTGAATATGGAAAAAGTTTTAGATTTTGAAAGTGCATTTGAATATATGAATTCTAGATAGAAATGGCGGGATTTATTCATTAAGCGATTATTCACAAAAATGGGCAATATGGGCAATATGGTCATAGACCATTTTAACATATTAAGCTGCACTTTATTAAACTAGGAATATATTCTAGTCAATTGGTTTCGTCTGAACTACAGACTGTAGTTTTACACATCATCTAGACACACACTAAGATTTTGAGTAACTTTCAAAGCAATAAAAAACTGGTAATAAATACAGACGTCATAGTTTGCGTTTGCCATACAAAATATAGGGTTTTGACAATTTTTAAAAAGTATTTAAATTTAGATACTGTTAAATATCAATATTTGAATTTCAGAGGCGCGGCGCCAACAATTTTCAAATTCCTATCTGAACCACACATGATTTGGAAATGTTATTTGTTGAAACAGTTAATCCATTTATTTTTTATTAAATGTAGGTGCTAAATATTTTGGTAGTATCCTGTTTGGTTATAAGTTGTTGAATATTTAATTTTGTGAACTACCTTTGAACTTCTTTCTCTTGGGGAAAGCTGTTCATTGAATTTGCGTTGTAGAATCCTTTTTGTCTGATCCCTACTTAAAGCACAAATTACCAATTACTAATAAGTTACCATAAAGTGACATTATACAGGATAATGTACTCACATTAATGTTTCTCCCAGGCTCATTCTCCACCAGCTGCATGGCGATGTCCTTGCAGTCCTTCCTCACAGTCGGCGGGAACCGGCTGTCGTCCTCCCAGTAGCGGGTGGGGTGGCGTGAGTGATCCGTGCTGTGGTCACTATGCCGCTGGACTTGCCTATAATGCCTTCCCTTTTTATATTATTTACTCACATTAATGTTCCTCCCAGGTTCATTCTCCACCAACTGCATGGCTATGTCCTTGCAGTCCTTCCTCACAGTCGGCGGGACCCGGCTGTCGTCCTCCCAGTAGCGGGACGGCGCGTGCGCATACAGCGCCGCTGGGGTGGCGTGAGTGATCCGTGCTGTGGTCACTATGCCGCTGGACTTACCTATTCATAGAAAAATCGAATAATGTATAACGACACTGGTAGGGTAAAAAGATTATGAGATATGTAGAGGCTCCTTAAGAGCAAAATATTTGACGATTTGTAAGTACTATTTAAATAGTCTATACAAATAAAGACATTTTTGACTTTTTACTTTGACTTTGAAAAGGGCTTGAGCTTCGAATTAGGAAAATGAGATTAACCCTTAAATCATTTCAACAAAATGGAACATCGCTAATCAGAACCTAATGACTTCATGATTGATGGAAACTGGCGTGAAAAAAACAAAGCCTTCTTGATACAGACGCTTTTCTCGTAAAGCGAACGTCCTTTTGCGTAATTATTTGTCTCATCCATTTTTCACCATCAGATTATGTCGGTCATGAACGCATGATATCTGTAATATTTTACATGATTAGATAAGTCATAATAATAGTTGGTAGGTTCATTTTACTTAAGACTTGTAATGTGACTTCAAAAGCGTCTCTATCTCTCATGAATAAGTCATCTTCTTATCATTCTAAAAGGAGCTTAAACAGGTTTTCGAATGCGAGCGCGGTTAATTCTTGAAAATTTACGTTTGAAACGAATTCTGTAACTAGACTGAGAACTTTTAAAACCGTTTTACTCATTTTGAAACATTCAAAGGGAATTTGCATGTAACGTCGATGGTTATAACCCACTTTAGTGCAGTCTGGCCAAACAATTCCATCTATTCCGCGTTAGAATTAGGTTAGAAGTACTTAAAAGTTGCTAAAGAGGTGCTTACCCACATCCCCTAGTAACCCAGCGTTCTCGCATTAGAGTGCATATGCTAAAGTTAATCCTTCCAGGTTAAATGGATGGAATTTAGAACTGCTATTTTAATAATAATGCTAGGTTACCCTAACCTGCTTAGGTTGAGCTAATTATACAAGTATACCTGAGCATGGTAATTTTCGTCGGTGTAAGGAATTTTGGAACTATAAGATAGGAAAACCCAATCATGATCAGTATTATCAATATTACAAGACAATATGTGCTTTATGATCCAATAACTGATCAGAAATCAATAATGTCTATAAATAACAATAATCGATTATGCTTTAAATCACATTAACGACTGAGCTTAATCATTTACGACACGTCGGTCGTCAATTTAAATTAACTGTTATTGTTTTCACCAAACGGGGCCAGAAATATAACTTAACTTAAATTTAAGTTGTCCTTGACTATTTAAGGCTTCCTAGCTCCACAAAGGAACAGTGCCGGTAAATTAAACGTGCAAACTTCCCAGACGTGGTATTATTAATTGAACTTTACTATACATAAGTGAAAGGTAAAACTTCACTTACTAATTGTGGTGGTTCGCCACGAGACCACGAGCATCTGAGAGCGCCTATCAACGTCACGTGTCACGAATACGCAAGACGAGTATTACAAACCCGCGCTTGTCAAACCACGTTTAGTTCGGATTTGTAACAACAGAGGTTACACCGACAATTCCCTTGTTACATACTCTCGCTCGAATATGGGTGTTAAGATAAGTAAGGTATACATAAAGTTAAAGTAAATCTAAGTTTTCCAAGTTACGCGTAAAAATTGTTTTTGGGCCTTGTTTTACAGTAGAAAATCCGCCATATTTACCTTAGTTTTTTTTAAAACATTGAGTATTTTTTATTAAATAAAAGGTAGACATAACTTCTACAGTACACTTGTTTGGTAGATAGACAGACATGTTTACTGAATGACATGACATGTTTAATGAAAAGTAAATACCTAAATACTCGTAAGTGCAAATTTTCTTCTATTACAAAACCACGATAGGTAAACACAACTCAAACAATAGATCCAAAATGATGTAAATAACGCTTGTTATACGAAGTGTTACAATTCCTTAAACGTGATGAAAATGAAAATGGCAAATAATGTTTGCTTAATTTACAAGATTTTCGTTAAATTGTGACTGATTCTAGGAACTTCATTAAATTTTTGTTTCTGTTCGCGTCAGGTAAAATAATAATCAGCTGTCAGACGAGATTATCCCGGCTTTGAGTAAAAATTTAATAGGTCCGAAGGTTCCGTATTAACTAAATAATGTATGAAAAGTTACAAGCGTATTACTTGCAAGCTTTGCTTTTAGTAGAAATAGGTCACATAATTAACGGCTGGTCAATTGGTCAATGTTCCCACCAAAACTTGTTTTTGCAAAAAAAATAACAATAGGTAAGCAAATCTAAATAAATCATGGGATGCGACATACTTTTCAGGTTTTATTTCGTTTCTTTAAATTGCGTTAATAGAAGCCTACGCTCTAACCCTTAGGTTCCGAGGTCCAAATGTTCATTTATGAATTCTGTGTTTTGAAAATAAGGGACAAGTAGGTAAATTGAGAAACAACATGATTCTATTAAGGTCCTTTTTTCTTTGAAGTAAAAATATTAATAATGCTGATTAACATTTAAGCAATTAAGAACATGACACAATACTTTTCCTCGAAGTAAATTCGTTCAAATCGTAAATTAGGTAAAAAATGTATCAACTGTTTTTGAGCAGGTTTCCTCGAAATCATTTGGGAGAAAAAACGCTGTAATTATGAAGAACTTACCAGCCTCGTGGACCCAGTCGATGAGGGAAGTGACCTTCGAGTTGAGGGTGGAGGAGCAGATGTTGAACCTGCCACCAGCGTCCAGGCCTAGCGTCTCGTATCGTGCCTTTACGCCGCATAGAAGTGCTGTGGCGCAGGCCGAAGACTCGCCGGTCTGGGCGTCAATGTTGTATGTCTGTTGGGTAAAATAATTGAAGTCTTCATATTCTACACTCAGGGGTTAAAACTTTGCCTCGATATCACGTCACGCTATACTTCTTGTCGACAACAAACCTACACAGTGTCAGCCCAAAACTCCGCTACAAGAGTGGCGTTGTCAGTAGCCTTCATAATCTTTCTGTATACAGTATACTCAACTACGCTATACTCAATGCCTGTATCACATAAGTGTTAGGGAGGTCGAAAACTGCAAATAGGAAAAGTAAAAATGAAATACCTAACACTTTGTCCTTGGAAATTATAAATCTCTATCTGATTCTACGTCTATTCATCGTTAAGAGTAAATTACTTAGTCATGTTTTCCGTGATAATAAATTCCAGTCAAATTAAATCTGTGTCCCAAAGCAATAAGCTGTACTTATTATAAAGCCGTACTAAATAATCCTCACAGATCTTAAATACAACTTTCATTGTGGAGAATATTCAGGCTTTGTTACGGTTCACACCAAAACGGCTTAATTGAAATACGCAGGTACAATACAGTCTACAGCACAAATACACACATAATTTAATAATTAACTGCAATCAAATAGGTGTGATAAATTAACACCTAATTTCTGTCAACAACCTACTAAATGTGACATTGGGTCATTGTCTCAATGTCAAGTAGGGTAATGGGTAGGTAGGTGCTATAATAAGCACCAATCCATTACTGAATACGGCCCCTAAATGGTGTGAACTACAGAAATTAAGCTTACAGTTTCAATTCAAACCAAATCAATTTCACGTTCTAAGATTCTATTCAGCACTTCAATATACGATTTACCAACTCCTCGATCCAATCGTGTAGAATGATTGCTATTTATAAAGATATTATTTTCGTCCGAACACGCGATCGTAACTTAGATCCACAAGTTCTTCGGTTGAAAATATTATAAGCAACCTATCGGGGCTTGAGAAACGACCGCCCTCGACAAATAATGTTTCATCAATCGTTCCACCTCTAAAATACGGCCTACTTCGCTATTCCACGGTAGTTCCCCATTTTTATTGCTCTATCTTGAATCCGCGGACTGGATTCATATAAATTCTCGATTCTTTTATCAGTTTCAAATGTATGTACCTACCTTTCATTTTCTGAGATAACGCCGTTCAAAAATTGAGAGCTTTGAGGTCAAAGTTCAAAAAATGTTCGCACGGAATCTAAGTCTTAATTGCTTCAATGTTCAATTTAGATGAGAATAACATTTTCATAGAAATCAAAAACAATTACCCTGATGATCGCGATGAAATCTAATATTCAAATTGCAAACACTGGCTGAACTTGAAAGTTAATTAAAACGAACTTTCAAACGTTGGGAGCCCGCAAAACAACTTCATTTTAACATAATTTTCTGAACAATGATTTGACTTGTTTGTCATGATCCTACATAAGTTATTCGCCTTCTGGTCGGTTCGTTTAAAATTATGAATAATTTATAATCCAGCTTTCTAATAAAATGTGCAAACTGGTTCAAGTGTCGAATTCAAAGTTTCGGCTTGTTTACGAATTGCGTCAACACTCGAGTTTCAGCAACTTAAGGGAGATAAACCGCTTTTACCATATCAAAGAACGCTATGATAATGCTCTGAACAAAACAAGGTAATATAAAAAGCAAGAGAACATTTCATATACTACTCTATAAGAACGAAGTGAGTAAAACGTCTTCTTCAGCTTTGTTTTTAGGTAAACAACCGTAGCTCGGTCTTCGAAGCGAAGACAGCATTTGACAAATCGTTTGTTTCTTGTTTTTACTAGTTTTATTGTCAAGTAACAACTAGAAAATAAGTTACAATAGTAAATTATTGTATTCTCCTACCACCTACATAAAGTACATCAGACTATCTATAGCATAATAAAACTTATTACAACTTCAGAAGCTGCCCAAATGGTTTTTTGTGTGTCATTAATATCTTCTATTCTATGAGTATCATAATTCATTCCGCTCTATTAACTTGTCATGTTTGTTTTTCGTTCATTTTCCACAAACCCCTTAAAAAAATCCTGTAGGCTTTGTCAAATACATTTTAAGAGAAGTCATGGTCAACCGTAAAAATCGATATTATTATAAAACTCTTCATTTAGTCTTCTGAATTTTGTTGTGAGTCCCAGGACAAATCAACCCTAAATTAAAAATTGAAAATCTTTACAGGAGCTGCAGTTGCGGAAAATAGAGGAGGGATATAAATTCCCATTAACCTTAAAAAACTGCTTACCTTAGCTAAAGCAACAGCCGGGAAGGTGTCCCAGACGAGGTCTGTATCTTCTCCAGTCTGCCCTCGTCGCTGGCCACGCAGGATCCTGGCTGCGGTGGCTGTTGTCAGGCTCATCCCGTCTCCTACCACCAGGATTATGTTCCTGTAGAGAAACATTGTTATTGATCTGTCCAGTACCAGAGAAATAAGACGAGATTTATAATGTTTGTGTTGGTTTACGAGACCACAGATGAAACTATACGATGTAAGAAAGTTGACAACTACAGCTACAATCATCATCATCATCATCACTTATGGCTCAAAAGTGATGATGATGATGATGATCCACTGCTGAACACAGGCTTCCCCCAATCATTTCCACAATGGTCGGTTGGTGGCGTCTTCCCGCTACCTTTATGAGTTCGTCGGTCCACCTTGTGGGTGGACGTCCTCTACGCTGCGCTTTCCGGTACGAGGCCTCCACTCCAAAACCTTGCTGCCCCATCAGCCAACAGCTACAATACCTATTTATAAATATCAAAAAGAACTTATCTCCCACGTAGTCGCTTAGACATAAATAAATATTCGATGCTAAGTCAACTGTTCTTTTTCAAAAGTGTATTAATAGACCAAAATAAGCAGAGTGAATAAATACCCTCCGTTAATTAGTCTCAGATAGAAGATAAGTAGATACAGCAAATGTATGAGCAAACTTTGCGAAACAGGAGTTCTTATATAGCTTTATTGGTTTCTCGTGAAATTACCAACCGTTACAACAACTCGACAGTTTTCAACTTTATGAAGGTGAATTTAAAAGCTATTTTAAACAAAATATCTCGGAAACAAGCGGAACATCTTCATTATTGCATTGTTCTTAAAAAGTTGAAATTAAGGTGAAAAATTACAGAACCGAATACAATTATGAAATCTTCTATCTTCTATATATATAAATAAAAATGAATTGATGTTCGTTAGTCTGATTATAACTCGAGAACGGCTGGGCCGATTGAGCTGATTTTGCTAAACGGTGAGCAAATACGCGCGCGATATTGTTTTTCTGTGATAGACAAAATTCCACGCGGGCGAAGCCGCGGGCGGAATGCTAGTCAGGAATATAATAAAGACAGCCATTTTAATCGTAATGCTTGTTGCCCATAAACTATTAGTATGTAATACACCTACGCTGTTTAATTATCTTATTTAGAAAAGGTCGAAACTAAATCGGATTATTAATATCGCTCACGAAATCTCATATCAACTTACTTACGTTTTATGTGGCCATTTTTGGATGATATTTTAGGTCGGTTAGCTCTGGAAGCTTAGGAACTTTGTGACTGTAATGTAACTAAGTCAAAATAAGTAGCTTGTAATTATCAAAATGTATAATCTCTATCAAGATGTAGACTTCTAATTAAATTAATACGGCAATTTTTATAATAATTTACTCGTGTATTAAAGTCCAACGTAGACATCACCCAAAACATTATTGTCAGCTATTTCGAGAATAAGATGATTTGAATTTTACAGAATAAGATCGTAATATTAAAACGAATTGCCTCTTTTAATAAATGTAAGCTATTATCACCCGACTTAATTCAAACAAATTAACGACTTGAAACATCATTTCCAGGGACAGAGACAGTCGTAGAATATCCAGACAATCGGCCCCCGTTTCAAATGAAACGTGGACAAAACGGACGCACTTGACTTTAATAAATTCTGAAATTGGTACCTTGTTGAACAATTTGGTTGGTAATTTGTGTGCCAACCCTCACAGGGTCGACCCTCCCCTGTTTGTTAATGATTAGCCCAAACTTGTATCAATGTTTAACATGTTCCGTGTAATTGGAAGAAGACTCTATGAAATAATACATTAAGATCAACATTCTCTCACTCATTTTCTAACGCCTGCTGACATTTAATAACTAAAGAAATAAATTGACCTTCTTAGATACGACTTAACGAAAAACAAGTTTCGATTTTTTCGTTATTAACGTTACTTAGTTATCTAATTAAGATCGAAATGATTGATATTTATAACATAATATAATTACCAATTAATATAATTAAATTTTCAATAAATCGTAGGTATATATAAACTAAACTAACTCATGAAAAAAACTTACACATATTCAAAAAGAGTCGCAATTTGTTTGTGAAGAATTGCAAGAGAACTCGTATTTCTGACTCCTTGTCTTTTCAATTAAGACATTTTTACAAAAAGTACAGTCGAGCAAAAGAGTATAAATTGAAAAGTATCATTAGCTACAATCACTTTTATTCCCAAAGTCAGAGTCCAATCACGAAGTCGTCAAGTGGCTAGCCCTTTGGCTTTCTTCCGGATACATTTTAGGGAGTTAATGTGGTATAACGGATTACGTCACACCCCATGTTATTTCCCCCTATTACCACCGGGAAATGGACGTTGATTGATTCCCGATTGGGTAGTTAACTTACACCATAAACCGATCATTACAAGGGACCACTTTTCCCAAATAACACAGTATAATTAATATAATTTGTGGCCTCAAAAACGCAATAAGTAATTCAAGCAATCTATACTAATATTATGAATGCGAAAGTAACTCTGTCTGTCTGTCTTGCTTTCACGCCTAAACCACTGAACCGATTTTGATGAAATTTGGCATAGAGATTGTTTGAGTTCCGGAAAAGGTCATAGGATAGTTTTTATCCCGTTTTTTGAAATAGGGACGCGCGCGATAAAGTCTTTCTGTGACACAAAATTCCACGCGGGCGAAGCCGCGGGCGGAAAGCTAGTGTAGACTATAAAATTATATTTTAGTACCTTTGACAACAAAAATAAATCAACAGTTAGGTTTGACTTAGAATGGAGTTATAATTATAATTTAATCATAAGGACCTCACGATCCTGAATCTCATGCTCTTGTAATAAAACCTATCCTGTAATTTGTCCTATTGAGACCGCAATCTACGATCCCTTGTCTTACAAAGCACAGCGTCTCTAATCTTGTCGACAACCGCTGGCCGGAATGCGATTAGTATTCTTTCCACGAACGAATCGCACCTAGCACGAAGTATAGCTTCAATTTATATTAGGGTTAAACGCTACTCGTATGTTATATTTTCTGCTGTAGCTTTCACTATACTGGGAAACGGAAAACATTCGTTCATTGCCCCCGGGAAGTTTCTGCACAGACACAAGGCTCTTTGAAACGATGCTCCACGCTAAAATATGTCTAATTAACATGTAACATAGAATTTCTCAAAAGTTGTCAAGCATTCTCAGAATTATTCTATGGAACTGCTAACAGACTAACTAGGTTCACTCCGCCGCACCTTCAATGTACGGTACAGTAACTCACTCTCATTTGCTATTTTTAAATCTTTATTTCGATAATGTAGGTACCTAAAGTTTTGCTGATTCGTCGGTCTATCCATCAAACTAATGCAACAAGTACAGACCCGATAATTACTCTCTATCGAAACTAATTCCCTATTGTTCCCATTAAAAGAAATGAGTGTGTAAAAGTCAAAAGAAAGAAGAATCCGTGCCAAATCTCGAGATCGGACGTAAAAGATAATAGACCCGCACTCTCAATTATTATGACAAAAGATTTAACACGGAAAGTCTTGGCGTTACTTACTTCGCAATCGGGTTTTTGTCCGCGGCGTATTGCAGCCGCTTTTGTAGGGTTTCCTGGGCTTGAGTGTACCAGTAGTGACGGTCTGTGGGCAAAAGAAATAAGTTCAATATTACCGTATTTATGACTGGAGAAAAGAGGGGAAAGTTTTTAGAGTTCTGAATGGCTATTTTGATTCCGATGGATCGGAAAATCTATTGGGACAGAAAATATTGGGATGTACAAATAAGTAATATTTAACTTTGAACTAGATACTGATTACGACATCTCAATAGTAAGTAAACAGCCTTCATTATTTTCGCAATATTTCAATAACTCATTCTATTCATTGACCCGTTTGACTGGTTGAGTGGAAAATGTCTCTAGGATAAAATTATGTCTGCCTAAGTATCAGCGCTGTTTAGATAATTAAATAATGTTACCAAAACCCTTCAAGGTTCTAATGGCCTGTTCTTTCCATTTTTCGAAACCTTATTTATTTAACCCCTTAACTTTGGGGCCCTGTTTAGCTGACATAGGGCACTTCACATTCATACTAACAACATATAGGTATATCTAAAATTAATACTCGGGGAACCCTAAGCCTAAGTGGTAGAAGTCTCCGCGGCACCAATAATTGATTTCCATTGTGTCTCTGATACTTGAAGGGTTAATAGGTAATACAATTTTCGCATGTAAAACCACTCACCGTAAGTTTCCTTGACCTCAGCTTTCATCGGCGCCGGCGACAGTACCCCCGTGCTGATGGTGGACATGATGATCACGATGCAGCACCAGCCACTCATGGTTCACAAGCCTCATCGGTGCGGGAGTCTGCCGCGGCCGTCGGGAATCACTCGAACTCACGAACTCACTCGATTGTCACTCGCGGTATCATAACACCGGGAAACGCGATACCTGGAACAAACAAAAGAATGTTGAGGCGTCGATCTTAATGTTCTCGGAAGATCTTAACCTGTGTCAAAGATTTTTCTGATTTAGATCACTAATGCCCATTTCACCATCAATCCCTAATTTTTAAGTGACCCCTATGGTAACACATAACAGGCATTTTGTTTTCATAGAGGTCACTTAAAAATTGGGGATTGATGGTGAAAACGGGCATAAGATACCTAATTTTCAATAGATTTTCCTTTGATATAAAATAGGTAAATAAGCGATTTACTTGTTTTTACTGTTTGCTATGAGGTAAAAATGATAAAATTCTAATTTTAAGTGACTAATAAATGATGAAAAAGACCTACCTACATAAGAGTATTTAATTCCCCAATTTTTTGAGCAATAAAACAAGAAAAAAATTAAGTCAATCATTCTTAATGTGACTTGAAAATTAAGGAGCAATTTCCCGGAAAATCACAAATCCCGAGAGTTCATTTTATCACATAAAAAACTTGAGTGCGCATCTCTTCAGTTTTTTACATGAATTAATGGATTCCACACGAATAAGTAGATCCAAAGAAAAGGTATTATTTTAATGTGCCTACTACTCAAGAGACCTGCCAAAACATATTACATGAATACAAATATTAAGCATTTACCCACATAAACAAGCTTAGGAATTTGCAACACTGTAATTTCATATCTACAAAAAGTAATTTTCTTTGATATGACAAACGTTTGAGTGTTCACATGCTTAACGAAATATTAAGGAGGAGATAAAAGCAAAAGTTTAATTTTGTAGAATTTATGCTTAAAGCAATATAAAGAGCGACTCGAATGTTTTCTCGGCGTTCAGTTATGGGAACGGTGGAAACTTCGGAAAATATGATAATAGGCAGTCAGGTACCCAAATATGTTCAAAGATTATCGAAAATTTATTTTCTCGGCCAAAATTCACCCTTTGTGGAATAGGGATCATGAGTTTGGATGTTTTAGTTCGAGTTAGATCAGAAACATTGTTGTTTCTGCCTTTGTAATTTTAATAAGGCCGTCAGCAATTATTTTCTTAGCCGTAAAGTTCAGAAATCAAAATAGGATAGGGTTATGTAACGAACAAACAATACCATGAGGTTGCAAAGGGAAGCCTTTTGAGACACCATTCGAATGGTAATAACATGGCGGCGTGTTTGTTAGGCACATGGATTACCTATTTTGCGCAATGAAATCTTATTGTATTCCAGAAAATGTGAACCAGGTTTGTCTATTTTTTACGTCGAATAGCTAAAGTCGTATTGTCAGTTTTAATACAGACCATTCACAACATATTGTTAAAAAAAAACAGCGAAAATATCTGTGTTTAATTTGATAGGAAATAGATTTAAGTACTTTAAGTGGGGCAATATAAAAATCACGGATGTATTTAATCTTGTCAGAATATCTAAGATCTCTGCAGATAATATCAAAGATAGAGATACCAATGAATAAGGGTCCCAAACACAAAGTCGTTTGTAATAACACGAGCAAATTAGATAACAAAACCTTACTAATCAGAATAATGGATTTCCCGACTAAATTCTTGTCGTAACCGAAACAATAAAGAACTCCTGACCGCATAGTCGGAACTTCAAAGTCAAAGTTATTGAGTCAGGGTTTTGTCTCTGCCTACGGACCCCCAATAAGCGAACTTTCCCTTATCAAGCTCCCCGAAATAAATTAAACCTTCGGATTGTTCGATTTATCAAACCCAATCAGCGACACGTTGGAATAAATCTAATTATCAAAGTCAGACTACCGAATTTTGATGTTATTAATTATCACTTATCATTATTAATTAAATTATCGTTCCAATTAAGACATTTCGCTATAAAATTGGCACAGAACAATCATATAAATTATATAATATATTAATTTGCTGTTTATTTAACACCTCTGTAGAGACACTTGTAGGGCCAAAAAGCCAATTAAAAGTTACTCAAGTGGCTTTTGTACGCAGTTTAATAATACCACAATTCCCAGATGAATATCGTTTCTAACAATACGTGTATTAGTTTAGAATTCCAACAATAAAGTGTTGTTTGGTGCTATTAATATAAACAAAATTTACCATTCTAATTAATGCTTATTGTTAACGAATAATTTCCACGTAATAAATTATTATAATTCGGTATTGTAGTTTAATCAAGTAATTAGTTCAAAGCGATGGATTAACCAAGCATGGCACTTTTCCATGAAGTCATTATTAGTTAATTAAATAGTCTTATCGAGTCATTCTGGTAATTGTAGAGTCATTGAACAGCGAATAAATAGAAATTAAAACCTCTACACATCTTTTTTCCAAAACAAGAAATAATAATTATTTTTAAAACAACATCAGTGAAATAAAATACTAATATTCTCAACAATTCCTCAGCTTAACCTTGTTATAAAGGGTGTAGCTGTAGAGTCAGACCGCGATATTGAACCGTTAGGCTACTGTACTGTCACACTAAAATTCCTTATTAGGTATCTCTTAGGTACATTCGAAACTCATAATCGGTCAAAACCGTTTTGACTAATGGCCTTGTTCAATATCACTTTTGACTGATTTTTCCAGTCAAAGGTGGTTTTGTCCGATTATGAATTTTGTTAACATATCTCAGTAGAATTATTCCTTATAATTATCTTGTATAGCTCATAGTACTTACATACTACCCGTTCGCGCTAAGTTTGCCGGTCCGTGGAATGCGCGTCCCCTATTCCAACCGCGATTAAACGCAATTAATGTGTCTTATTTTACGCAAATGCACATTTTTTACCAATAATAATAAATAAAAAATATTTAAAATAATAGTTTGTTAAAGTTATAGACGCTTCCCTTCGAGTGACGTCATATCGCCAGCGGCAAACTTAAAGCGAACGGATAGTAATTAAAGTTTTGCCTCACGTCAAGTGTACCTATAGAGTTGTTCCATAAAACCTACCTGTCCCAATAAAATACACGTATCTTCCCTTCGGTTCAGTTTGCGTACAAACAAGATTAACGGTAGGTGTCCAGACCAGCCATTTGTGGCGCCGTAAAACCAGGACGAGGCTCATTAAGTCATTTAATTATGCTATAACTTCACATTTACACTTCCACTGAATGAAATGTGGAAATAAGTGGAATTCAATCATCAATACTTATTGGAAATTCAATTGTTATTAAACTACTCGTAAAAGCGAAAAAGTTTTACTTAATATACTATTTATTAAGTATTTGGGCACAATATTCGTGTTTTTGTTTAATATTTTACTTTTAGACATTATTACTGTTATTAACTACCTGCGTACCTGATTTTTTTAGCATTTTGAAAAAATAATCCTTGTTTGTTTCCTACCAAATGTTTTACACGATAATGTTGGATATACACATCCATATTTTCAGTGTTTAGAAGGGTTTTTTTAAATTAATTTTGTTTCTTTTCATTTTATGACACATCACTAAATAATAAAACCTCAAGTCATAAATATAAACTAACTGGAATAATTACCTCAGAATTATCACGAATCATCTCGCCTGAGCTCTATTAAAGTAATTAAGGTCTCTTTGTGGAATATAAAAAGCTCGCCCCTGATAACGATAGCTGTCCGTTGGTCCATGTCATTACGACTAGCAGGCTAATTACGTTTTTCTTTCATAAAATTACTCTTACGATTTAAGCCGCCATTTCATTCACCGCTTTGCTGTGAATTTATTTTTGGGGTCAATTTACGGCGTAAAATTTAAAAGCAGATTAATGTAAACGTAAAATCAATCGACTCGTATTAAACTATACTTAAAATAATTATCGGATAAATAACATCGGTAATAATATGATAATCATACGGATATTGTTATGAAGTGATAATAAAGTAATACAATTCTATTCTATTCTAAAAATTAATATTCCGCTTATTAACGGTAGTGTCTTTCATATAATTATTAGCATTTACCTCTGGCTGGATTCAAACTATTAACTTTGTAGGCAAGCCAACTTACCAAGTGGCTATCGTAAGAACCAACAGACTGTTAATGTAAATAAATAAGATGTTGTAAGAGTTACAAAGTGTCAAAGTTAGTTACGTAAACCCCGTAATAGTACGTACTTCATCTAAGTTTGACTTATCTAAATCCGTCCAGAACTGTGAAAGTTCGGAGCAGTGAAGAGAACTATTTCGACGAATGAAGCAGTTTCAATTTTTAAGTTTGTACATTTAGCGAATTCACAAAGTATCGCTTAATCTTCCTCGAAGAATTAAGACTTTAGAGACATTATTAGTTGACTCAAAGACACTAATCCTACTAATTTATAAATGCGAAACTTTTTAAGGATATTCGGATGTAGGTATTTGTTACTCTTTCACGAAAAACTACTGAACGGACTTTGATAAAAATTTACAGTATTATTATTTATACCTAGAATAACATTAAGAATAACTTACTCGTAATGTATTATCGATCTGTGAAAAACTTTTCACGCGGTTTCCCCGCTAGTACATAATAAGACTTTTTAAATGTTACTCTACTTTCTTCTACGACTTTTAATTCTGTTTTCAGCAATAGATAAAGTTTTCAAGAAAATGGTCTATAGTGCGAGTTTGAAACCGAGGCGTTTCGCTAATAACATATAAACAATTAATCAAATTAAATACAAAACTATAGAGAGATGAAACAAGTTTAAAATATGCAAGTCTAATTTAATATTTATTGTTCTTTCATCTAATTTTGTCTCCAATCAGCTCGAAAGTTGTTGATCTTTAATTAATGTAATAAATTGAATTCTACGTCAACGGCCTAGGTAAGTTAATTTATTTGAGAAATTTCACACATTGAAGCCCAAATTAAAGGCATTGTTTGTTGACCAAACTTTAGTAACGAAATATTAATTGTGCTTTAATATTAATAAGAATTTAATTAACTACAAAAGCCCGATATAATATTATTATGGTATTCAGTGAAACCA